CGTCAAACCTTCTCGCACCATGCGCTGGACTGTTTATAAACGGACGATCACTCGTCAAACCTCTCGCACCATGCGCTGGACTGTTTATAAACGGACGATCACTCGTCAAACCTCTCGCACCATGCGCTGGACTGTCTATAAACGCCGAGACCTCGGTGTCTTTTCTGGAATGTTAGTGTGCATATGTGACTAATCATGATATAGGTATTTATCTACGAATAAATATTCTTTACTAAGTACTGCTCTCTCACACTATTTTTCAGTTTCGATATGTGGGATGTGTTATCTTGTATGTTACACTTGGGTCAATTATAACATTGTTTCCTTTTACAATTTAGATCATCTATGGAACGTGGTATATTGTAGGTTATGTTTGCCGCAATAAACGTTTAAACATTTGGGTATTTTCTTTTTAGCTTATTAGTAAAAATATTCATATTTGTAGACATATTATTTATTGCATAACAATGTCAATGGGATATAATTTGTAATAGTCAAATTAATTAGGTAATTAAGATCTAGGAATTAATAAAATTAATATGATTTTGGCCCCAAATAACATTAACTTTACGATTTTGACAACTGGGTGGCATGTATTACAAATGTTAAAGTACCTCCGCCAGAGAGTAAACAAAACGCAATATTAGCGATAAAAATTATAATCGGGTTTAGTTTGTTTATTTTATATTGTGAAATCAAAGTCAGATATTAATGAATGTCTTTTAGTGAAGTGAAATGTGAGAGTGACATAGAATGTGATTACTTTTTTTAATCCTCTAAAAATGCCTTCAACTAAATTTTAGTACGGGTGGAACTGTTTCCATGTCACCCCATAAAACTTAAAATACTCATTATTTGCAGGATTGTGTTGTATGCTTCGACAGAAAAGGGACTATTAATAATAAAGAATAAGGACGGGTGAATGATGGCAGATTCAAGGAGAGACTAGTCCAGAGAGACTACAAAAAGGAAGCAGAAAAAAGGAACAAAGTTGGCCATGGAACAGGCACTACAAAAGCTGTCCAAGTTCTTCAAGCAGATAAATGATATTTCATCTAGTAAAGAAAGTATAGGTCCAAGCACGTGTATGGACTTCACTTTAGCAGAACAGATGGAGGGACCTTGGAAACGGAAAGGATTTGTGAAGACTCTTCTGGTAAAATTTACGATAGTAATATGCTTCACAGTGACACAGAATCTCGCATGCCCGAGTCACCGTCTCCATCTCCCCCAACCTAAGCTGAAATGACAGCAGAGTCGTCAGTATACTCCATCAGTTGGGATGATTCTGGAGAATGGAAAATGCTATTAAATTATAGCCATTTTACTTATATATATTTGAGAAAGATCTAGTTCGAGTCCAAATGAATGATAAGTTTCCAAAAGATGCTGAGAACCACCATTTCTGTACATTTCACTACACTAAACTGTTCTGCAATGGAGAAACATATGACCAGCATTGACTTGTTTACTCTATAAGCAAGGATTCTGTCATTTACTTTGCATGTTCCCGTCATCAGTATCAAACATTTCCATTGCGAATCAAGGTCTGTCATATTGAAAAAACCTTAGCGTGGCTCTGCGTAAACACGAAGCTAGCAAAAATCATAAAGGTGCAATCGGAAGATGGCTTAAAATGTCAAACTATAAAAAGCGGGAACACAGATAGGCTATGCCAAAAACAGCTCCAGCAAGAAAGGCTGCACTGGCATAGTGTCCTAGAAAGGCTCCTGGCAATAACTCAGTACCTGGCATCCCATAACATGGATTTCCGTGGTCACAGTGATATATTATACACCACAAACAATGACAACTTTCTTGGACTAGTGGAACTTCTGGGAAAATGTGATCCTGTTATGCAGGAGAACATTAGGTGCTCCTCTTCACATGAGATCTCAGATCACTAATTGAGAAACAATACTCAGAATGAACTCATTGAGCTTATGTCCGAAAGGGTTAAACAAGAGATTTTGGAAGAAGTGAAGTGCGCCAAATATTACTCAATTATTCTGGACTATACACGTGATATAAGTCGCATAGAGCAAATGATGATGACTATATGCTTCGTGTCACAGAAAGGACAAGTGGAAGAGCATTTTTTAGGATTTCTGCCCATTGAAAAGACTACAGGAGAGGATCTCACTGAAACTGTAACAACTGAACTGGAAGTCCTTGGTTTACAGCTTTCTGATCTTTGTCGCCAGGGCTACGATAATGATTTGAGTGCGCATGGAGAGCGTAAAGGAGTTCAAACAAGAATTCTTCAAAGAAATTCAAGAGCCTTTCTCATATCATGTGGGAGTCATAGATGGAAGTTGGTGCTTTCTGACGTGGTTACTTCTTCTACAGATGCCGAAACAATGTTTGTAACACTTCAGCATATGTATTCATTATCCTCAGCTTCTGTTCAACGTTGGGTAATTCTTAATAGTAAGGTAAATGTCACTCTGAAATGACTTTCAGACACTAGATGGGAGTGCAGAATTGAAAGCGTGAAAGCTGTTAGTTGGAAGCAAGGAAAAATATGTGAAGCATTGGAAGAGGTTTATGAAGGAGGAACGGGAGATTCGATAGTTTGGAGTGAAATAAAACCCATTTTGAATGTTTTAAAGTATTTTTACTTCGTAGTATCAGTTGTTGTGTGGTATGACATTCTGGTGAAGATAACGCCTTTAGGAAGATGTGATAATCTACTAACATGCATCTAAATATATGTGTGCAACATGTGAGATAATTCATCGCTTGGCTTGGTGTGTACAGAACAAGTGGGTTTGAATCAGTGCTTACGAGTGCAGAAGCTTTAGCAGAAGAATAGAATATTCCCCCACAATTCAAAGAAAAACTGCACCAAAGGAAGAAGATATTCAGCTATGAAACGGAAGATGAGCCTATTTTTGTGCTGAAGGTGATTTTAAAATATACTATTTTTGCAGAGTGATCGACACGATTGATGATTCTGTGAAGACACGCCTCGAAAAGCTTGAAAAATAAGCCCATAACTTTGGCCTCTTCTATAACATTTCATCGTTACGTCATATGACTCAATATGACCTTATAAAACACTGTAATTACCTTCAGCTGTTGTTGACTGACAAAAACTCCAAGGATATTGATGGCGTTTAACTGTGTGAAGAGTTAGAATTTCTGTGCTTCCTGACAATGCTAATGCTGCCATCGCCCTAGTCTATTTAGTTGAGAACAAACTGCCTGACGTCTACCCAAACATGTACAAAGCTCTTCCCATTGTTTTAACCATACTAGTAAACTGTTGCAACTGCAAAACGGAGCTTTTACCGATTAAAACTAGTGATGACACATATGCTCTACTATGACACAAGAGACTTAGTGCACTGGCTGTCCTATTCATTGAACAAGACACTATGCTATCTGTTGACTTCCAAGAACTTATTACTGAATTTATTAACAGAAAGAGTAGGAGGGTGAACTTTTAGATTTGTAAACCACGTTTATCATTGAGTATAACTTTCAATATGATCATAATATGGTAATTACATATTAGATAGGTACATTATATACGTTATAATCACCATCTGATCATTGATTCAATTCATCACTGATAATCTGTTCACTCTTCATCTGGAATACGTATATTGCTTTCAGATGTAATAAATGGTATTTTTTTTGTAAAATAAATGTTTTCCCTTAGTAATGCATTTACATACATTTAGTTCCTAAAGGGGGCCACGCAATGGGCCTTCCCCTAGGTCCCCCAGATGACCTAAGGCCGCCACTGATTACAGATCACATATACATTGCTTTTCAAAAGTATTCACCCCTACCAATAATGTCCCATTTTGATGAAATACAAATAATGTAAACATATTTTAATGAACTTGTTTTTATTCAAAACTCTAATGAATGTCAGTAAAACCTGTAAATAAAATATATAAATTGAAATTTGCTGTTGAATAACTATTCAACCCCCCTAAGTCAGTGCTTGGTGGAAGTACTTTTGGCAGCAATTACTGCTGTGAGTCTTTTTGCACAATGGGATGCTGTAATTTTTACTCATTATTCCTGGCAAAATTGCTTTAATTGTGATAAGTTCGTTGGGGATCGTTGATGGACTGCAATTTTCAAGTTTCGCCATAAATTTTCCATTGGATTCAAGTCAGGACTTTGACTGGGCCACTCCAGGACATTCACTTTCTTCTTTTGAAACCATTCCAGCGTAATTTTGACCTTATGCTTCGGGGTCATTGTCCTACTGAAATGTGAATTTTCCACCCGGTTTTAGATTATTGGCTGACTCAAGCAGGATTTGCCTGTATTGCACCATCCATCTTCTCTTCTATCCTGATAAACTTACCAGTCCTTTTTGATGAGAAGCATTTGCATGAAATGATGCTGCCACCACCATGCTTGACAGTTAGGATGGTGTTGAACGGGAGATGTGCTGTGTTGGGTTTGTAACAGATGTACCGCTTTTAATTTTGACCAAAAAGCTCAATTTTTGTCTTGTCTGACCACATAACCTTCTGCCACATGTCTACAGTATCATTTACATGATTTTGTAGCAGACTTCATACGAGATTTAAGATGATTTGTTTTTAGTAATGGCTTCTTTCTTGCTACTCTCCTATGCAGGCCAGCTTTGTCTAGGGAGTGGGATATCATCGATGTATGAACACTGACTCCAATCTCAGACATGGAACTTTGCAAATCTTTCAAAGTCACTGTTGGTTTCACAGTGGAATCTCTAACCAATTTCCTGCTTGCCTGATCTGGATGGTATGAAGTACATTCCACTTCTTAATGATGGATTTCACAATACTCAAAGGGATAATCAGAGACTTTGAAATTTTATTGTAACCTTCTCCTGATTTGTGCTGCTTCCTTGGACTTTATGGTTGGTTTGTCGTATCACCATGTAAGTTCTGGTAAGTTGTGTGCATTTACTCTGATGTCAAGCCGCGTTGATTACACACAAACAGAGACCGTTTCACTAATTTTTTGGCCTTTCAAACTAATCTTTTGCATCTGAAGTGATTTGGGGTTGCCATAGCAAAGGGTTGAATACTTATGCAATTGAGAATATTCAAATTTTTTTTGAAAATATAAATTACAATATCAGTGTTTTTTAGCTTCCTCAATTTGGATTAGATTGTGCAGATTCTAAATATAAAGCCCCATTTGAAAGTTTCATGATTGCAAGATCAGATAGCAACAAAATGCGGAAACTTTGCAAGGGGGATATTTTTGCAAGGCACTGTACCTGTGTTTGGGCAGTACAGTATGTGTTGTTGTGAAATAAATGTTTATGTAACTTGTAACACTTTTTTTTACAGTGTACATTAATCAAGAAGTACTTATGGTACTTATCAGGTATTATAATTGAATTAGTTCAGAAACTAAGACTACCTTGAAAAAAAATAATTGACATCTTATTTGTATTTTAGGCGCTGATTGTAAGTGTATTTGAAATGGAAAGCCACAAGAACAGAATTCAACAGAGCGTTGAACAGCCGACGAAGGAAGCCACTTCATTTCCTTTGAAATCTGAGAAACATTTAGAATCACATCTTGTGAAAAAGAGCAGTGATTTGGAGTTGTCTGAGATTTCCCATTCTGAAGGTGTAGAGGAAAATACGGAAGTTGAAAAATTCGAAAAGAAAACTCTTTCAACAATATATGAAGAGGAAATTTCTTCTACAACTATTCTGGATTTGTTGAAGAAGATCCCTACTCTAGGATATTTGATGTCACTTCTCTCTGCTTTTTTTTTTGGAATTTCACGTTTTCTCATTAAATTTATTTCAGACCTAAATCCTACAGAAAAGGTAGTAATTACAGCTACTATTCAAGTAGGTTTATGCTTGCCCATAGTAATTTATTTTCGACATTCTTTTTTGGGGAAAAAGGGAGAGCGTTTGATGTTCATGTTTAAGATAATCTGTGGAGCCTTAGAAAATATCATGGTTTTCTACTCTCTTTTCTTCATTTCTTTAAGTGAATCTAGTACGATCATTCTAGGTGCTCCTGTGTTGATAACTGTTTCAGCTTGCATATTTCTTGGTGAGAAATGTGGTTTATTGGAAATTATTGGTTTGGTTTTGGCAATTAGTGGAGTGTTGTTTGTGTCTAATCCACCATTCTTATTGACTGAAAGGAGTGAGTTTACTTCAGATCGTCTAGTAGGTATTTTAATTTCTTTATCAGCCTGCTGTTTTTTGACGGGTGCATATGTATTTCAGCGAAAATGCCTACGTACATCGTTTGCTACAATTATATTTGCACAATCTCTAGTTGTTGTCTTTGCTGGGTCAATTTTTCATTTATCAACACAAAAGTTACGTATAGTACCAAAATGTGGAATTCAAAGTATTTTAATAATCCTCTGTGGAGTATTCAACATGCTAGCCATGTGGGCTTGTGTTTTAGCGCTACAGTTAGAAAATGCTGGCCCTGTGTCTATCATACGTTCGTTCGAGATAGCTTTTTCCTTCATTTTTGGGATATGTGTTTTGGGTGAAAAACCTGAATGGCAAGGCATATTAGGAGCTTTGTTAGTTTTCAGTAGTATCATTCTGTTGGGTGCAAAAAAACTTGAGAGAGAACGACCTGGAAGATTTAAAGATATATTTAAGAAATGCATCTAATTTAAAAAGATTTATCTAGCATATAAAATACAACAATTACATTTATCGGAATGTACTGATCTAAAGTTTCCATGTGATGTTTTAAAAACATAAAAAATAAATTCCAACTATTTATCTTTTATGTAGTATAATCAAGAATGAACAATATTCTTTAGATTTTGTTCTAATTTTTCTATCATTTCTGGCAATATGAGGTTTTTATGGTGTATACAATTTCAATTTGATGACGCATTGTTTAAATAAATGACATATTTTGATGTTATTTACAAGAGGTTATATGATAAGTTAAAATTTTGGATTAGAATAATTTTGCTTAAAATACTGGAGAAAGAAAATATTATATGAATAATATAATAATGATTTTCATAAATTATAAAATTAAAAAATGTTGTTATAATGTATCATAAAACATTATTCCTGATTGCAATCATTCATCTTATTTCTATTTATCTGTTAATTGCTGTTAAATTAAATAAATAACATTGTGTTATTATTTCTTCCCTAATTCTGATTTGTAGAAAAGTTATAAAAATAACATTGCCTCCCAGTGGCACAGCGGTATATTTGTGGACTTACAACGCTAGAAACTGGGTTTCGATACCCTTGGTAGGCAGAGCACAGGCAGCCCAATGTATAGCTTTATACTTAACTACAAACAAACAAACAAAAATAACACTAAATCTCGCTTTCACCATAACAGTTGTTGTTTATACAGTTTGGTAATATAAATAGAGTCTCAACCACTAACTACTGTGTCTCTCATATCCTAGCCAGACTGATGAGCCCTGGTATTGGTCGAAAGACGTCACTGGCACTGTATATAGCAGATACAGTGTGTTTGACATATTGACATTACTTTTTACTTTCGCTCTAACAGAGCTGCATCCGTTAGATACACACCGTGCGTAGGTTTTTATTATTATTTTTTAAATGTTTATTACAGCAGCATCTCTTAAATGTTAGCTGACCGGATACTTCTTATACAAACACAACTGGTTCTTGGCTAAGCATAACAAATCACGTTATGCTTATTCATAATAACACATTCTTCATTGGATAAACAAAAATTAGTATATCTCAATTTACTAAACTTGCCGCGTTGATTCTCTCTTTGAATCTAATGTCTGTAGCAAGAGTCTATCATCGTAGGATTCCAGATCAATATATCTTTTAAATTTGAATAAACCGGAAAAATCAAAATATGAGAAAACAACTATCTGATAGTATGCAACGTAATGTGCCTGAGTTTTCTGTAAAAAGAAATAAAAGTGAGAACTGAAAGCCTTTCGAGAAAGTCAGGAAGTAATAGTACATCGTCATCTACTGAGCTTCGTGGTGATTCTGAAAGTTTTGAAAAAGGATTGTTTGTTTGAAGTTAAGCACAAAGCTACAAAATGGGCTATCTGTACTCTGCCCAATACGGTTTTGAAAACTGGTTTCTAGCGTTGTAAGTCCGCAGACACACCGTTGTGCCACTGGGGGAGCTTGAGAAAGAAAAATTCCATCTGAGGTTCTGAAAGAGTATGAGGTCATACAGGTCATAGAGGCGTTAATCTTCCACTCTATTTTCTTCAAATCCAAAAATAAAATTAAGTAATAATCGGCATTAGTGGCTGTCTGAATTATAAATATCAACGGAATAAGATACATTCTTCAGAAGCTGTTTATGGCCATTAATGTGTTTCTGAAAATATTCTCGTTTCTAATAAAGGTTAAAATAAAACTATTGTATATCATTTTCGAAATCCACACTAGAGGGAACTAAGAGGGTCTATTTGAATGACAAAAGGACATGGTTAAAAGTGGAGAAGTAAATATCTGCTTGAGTTGACACCTACTGAAGCTGACTTTTCAGCCAAAGCAACATTTTGATATTAAAATTAACAACTTTAAATATTTCGTAATGCGTTTATCATCCCCCCTTATTAACAGTAAGTATCTAACAGGTACAGAGGAAACCTACATTTTTTTATATCCCAACTACCATGTGTACGCACATTTTTCTTCTCAATTAATCGAGGTTTTGATTATAAAACCTGCAATAAGAAATAATCGTTAAATTCAAATAAATAACGAGACTGCAATATCAATTTAACTTGCATTAGAATCATTCTCATGTCTAAACAACGTTTTCTGTTAGGATTATTTATCTTTTGTTTTGTTTGATGTAAGGTAAAAACATTAGGCTAACTTGGGTGGACAGTATTAACATAATAAATTATCAATTGGTTACACATGAGAGTTACGCGTTCGTAGTAGCAGTGTTTAAATTATGAAATATAAATGTAATATTAAACAACATGAGTGAGTATAGTTCTAAAACTTGGCGTTATAATGTTTCTTAAACCTTAACATCTGTGTTGCTTTAAAACAATATTAGTATTATTTAAAACTAATAGTATATTAGTGTTAAATAATACTAATATACTATTAGTGTTAAATAATACTAATAGTATATTTCTAATATTTAGAAAAGTTAAAAATATTAAAATTTTTAAACTTTCAATACTTGAAACTAAATAGCTCTTTTTAATTATCAGGAAAGTCTTACGCTACTAGATAATTTTTATTTTATTGTAATAGATTAAACACATCTTTAACAATCTTCTATTTCTTTGACTGATATCAGATTACATACAGTGGTGGAAAAAATATTACATCAACCAATGCTTTTTTACACTTTTCTTGGTTCACGTAATTTTTTATGAGACTGTGCATTGTTCAAACGCCAGAACTAGTGTAAAACGGTTATGGACATTGTAAGGTGTAAGCTGGCTCATATTTCGGTCATCTAAATACATGTTGCGTCAGCGAGGTCACGTGACAAGTATCGCGCCACCTCCTTCTAGAAATAT